GCTTGACCATTTTAACACAACGTGCTGCGATCATCCCCCTTGCGCGGAGTGAGGGTTCTCCACCCCGCACAACATGATCTACTCGACCACCATTATGGTTACCGCCAAAAAAAAAAACGAATGTAAAAAAAAAACCGGTAACCTGGTTGCCGAGTTCACGAAGTGAATTGGCTTGTTTTACAACGTCGTTGCCAAGCGACGAAAACCCAATCCCGATGGCAAACACCGGGGGGGGCAGCTTGTTTTACAACGTCCTTGCCAAGCGACGAAAACCCAACCCCGATGGCAAACACCGGGGTGCGGTGGGAGGGGGGGGGGGGCAATCGTCCTTCGAGCTAGGAGAGTCCCTCAGACACGTATCCCTTTGAGTCCATGCAAATATCCATCCATAATCATACGAGTAGAGGAGAATGGTTCGTTCACGACATGAGGGAAGTGCGGGGGGCACCCATCACGATTACATCATACTCTTTCACTCGAGACGGGTCACAGAGAAAATCCTACCCATACCCAAAATACCAACACACCAACATACCAGCGATAGCGTTGTTGATATTCAAGAGTCAAGACACAACGCCTGCCTTCGACCAAAAAACAAGCAAAGAAGAGACACCATGTGTCGATGTCAACAACGGAACCAAGGGGGAAGGAGGGACGCGCAGTCTGAGGCAGGGAAAATTAAGCGGACGGTATCACGAAGCAACCAGACCAGAGGCAGACGAAAACGATCATGACCATTAACAGGACGTTTCCGGACAAGTGCCTACGGCGATGCTGCTATTTACCTCTTCACACACAGTAACATTGACAAGGAAAATAAACCGTTTCAACTACAAACGCCTAAGGAAAATCGACAAACAGAACAAAACGTCCAGCCTTAATTCCCCTCCCTAGAGACAACCGCCTTGCACGCACCTGTACGGCCGCTAAGTTGCTCTCCCTGATGAGATCATCCACGCTCCGCTTAACCGCGTAGGCGTACCTCTGTCCTCGCGAACGGGTGTTGCAAGCATCAGAGCAGTTTGAGAAGCAGATGCAGATGTTAGACGCCAACAAAAAAACCTGACTCGAGTCAGTCGAAATCCAAGCAGTGCAGCACCCGACTCCGTGACTCAGACGCGCTTCAAATACGCGAGAGACGAGTCTAACTGAGTCGAGTTCCGCAAGGCCAACAGACAAAACAGCACTCAACATGTCCACCTCCTTCCCTGCATAGGGTAGGTTGGCCATTACGGCCAAACATATCAAGGGACGCCGATACTGGAAAAAACACTGAACGGCGAACCAAGGAATCTCCCATGATATATCATGTGTTTCGTCTACTGTGGGGGAGGGAGGCGGGCTGTAGGTGCCTTCGACATGCGACCTCTTTCGCCGTGTGGACCCTCCATATTGAACACCCGAAAGAGTTTGCTTGCACCACTATTGACAAAGCGTTCGGTAGATCCTGAATCAAACCAGGAACACGGGAGGGTACAGATGCTTGAGACAGGCTGCATGCAGACGAGATGGCACAAAGCGATGACAGAGGCAGAAGGGATGACAAAAAAATACTCAGACCGCGTTTATACTACCGAGCTACACTGACGCCGTCGTTGCGAGTGCAAACATCCGAACCTGCAGCTCCCATGCATGCTCCCTCCCTCAACTCACCTCCCTCTCCGCCCGTTCCAGGTGCTTGGAGTACAAATCGTCCGCGTTGGCCAAGAACCGCATGGCGTCTTCCAAGTTTTGCTGCATATCTTCTTCTCCATCCTCATCGTCGTCGTCCTCCTCCGCCTCCCCCTCGCCCCCCGCTTCCTGCGTCTTCTCTTTCGCGTCGCCCCCAGTCCCGCCGCCATCCGCCCGACAACGCCGTCGCCGCCGTCGCTGTCGCCGCTGGTTCTTCTCCTGCTCCCTTTCGGACTTCCAGTCCTCTGCCCACTGGACAATCCTGCCCACCATCCCCGCGATGTCTGCGCGCAGCCCCGCCCAGTCCAGCAGGGGCTCGTAGTCGAAGGTCAGCTTCGCTGCGCCGCCGAGCCTCCCGGAGTCTCTCGTGAGGGGCAACACCGGGGTCGGCCGGGTCTGCAGCGACGGCGACGAGGCTCTCCCGGTCGGTTTTAAAGCCTTCGAAGCCGTCTTCGTCACAGCAGTACCGGAGGGGGTGGCGGGGGCTGGCGGTTCCGCCGCTTTTGCCGTCGCCACCTCCTTGGGGGATTGGGACGGTAGGGGTGGCGACGACGACCCCGATCTCGAGGACGATGGCCTGTTCCGCGGCCCTTTCGGGGCACCCGCGACAGCAGCGCTACCGCCGGTGGTCTCGGTCTTCGTCGTCGTTGCCGCCGCTGCTGCCGTCGGCGCCACTTTCGACTCCGCTGCTGCTGCCGCAGGCGTGGAGCCGTCATCCCCAGACGTCAGCAACGGCGCCTGGTCACCGCTAGCCTCCCCCCGCGCAGGCACGGCCTCTTGGGATTGAACCAAGTAGGACCCGGGCGCGGGAACGTAGCATCCCCTTACGAAGCGCTCTCTAATCTGCGGAAGGTTGATCGGCGGCGTCTTCGGCTTGACAGGGTGCTGCGACTCCTTCAGCAGCACACCGTTCCGCCCCGTGGCCGCCGAATCGCCCTCCCCGCCGGCCTTTCCCTCACTATCGACATCCATGGCATCCTCCAGAGCCGTGGACGGCGAACGCCGAGGGGGAGTAGGGACATCCGCACCCGCCACCGCAGCAGCAGGTTCCCCTACGTTAACCGCCACCGACGATCCTTTCCTAGGCCGCCTGCGCGATGGCTGACCCCGCCCCGCGTCCCCGCTGCCCCCATCGCCACGGACAGGCGAACCCGCCCGCTTCTTGTCCGACGACTGCGGAGCCCCCTCCCCACTCCCAACACCACCACCGCTAGCAGTAGAAGAAGCAGCGCTTCGACCGCGTCCGGCGGCCACGCATGCAAACCCGCTCCGGTCGGCATCGCCGCCGGTCTGCTCGTCACCCTCCGCTTCTTCCATACCCTTGAGCTTCTCGATCGGGTCGAGTTCTGTGCGAAAAATCTCGTAGCTGTCCTCCTTCTCTATCCTGGAGATGAGCTTCTCCATGTCTTTCACCTGCTGGTGGATGAACTTGGGAGTGCCTGCTGCGAGCTCCGGAAGCTCGGGGCCGGTTGCTGAAGTCGACATCCTTGCCACCGTCTTTAAGTTTTGCACGGATGTGATAGGAGGAAATTGGAAGTTCCACAAGGAGAGTCGAGGGGACGCACAGCAGGGAAGAGGTCAGGGGTGAACAACGGGAATCGTGTATGTTTCGAAAAAATAGAAGTACATGCACCGTTCACGTTCTGGCAGGGCATCAGCGGGTCGGGGCTGTAGAGCATACCGAAGCTCCCTTGGCACAAACCCTTCCATTTCGACCCCCCCCTCCGTAGACGGTGACGTATTGAGGAACCCTGCAATGAAGCGGGCGTAGAATTCTGAGGAGCGATGTGTGCCACCTCACATCTGCGATGAACCTCGCAGCAGCTGCAGCTATGGAGATCGTGCACCCTTCCCCCCATCTCGTGCTCCCCAACCCCCCTTACCTCGTCGAATTGCTTCGGAGCCTTGACCGCCCGCGCTCCGCGCAGCGACCTCGTGGCCGAACGGCTTTGAACGCCCCCCGTCGACCCCGCTAGCCCCTCGGGTTGCTCCAGAAGTCGCACATACTGTAGCAACAGTGTCGCGGTTCGGTTCCAATCGAACAAAATTAGACTCCCTGCGACTCATGCAACGGCATACTAGTGCTCCTGTTGCCGTCATCATCACACTCAGGACCGTGCCGACTTCGAAAACAAAGTATTCGCCGTCTCGGTTTTCAGTGGTGGTCGCCAGCAGAGGAAAGGCAACATTCGTGCTGGTCGCCAGCTAGCCCAAGACAAGGTAACGAAAAATAACGATAGTCTAAAAGTCTATCTACCGCACGAGAAAATCATCCATGGAAGTATGAGTTTGGAAAAACAGAACCCAGGATAGGAGGGAAACAATACTGCACGTCTGTTTTGAATGATACATGGGTCTGTGTGCTTGTTGCGGTGTCCTCGTCCAAGTGCTATCTTCCCGCGTATGCAATCTACCCCTTTGAGCACAAACGAAGCAGCTCGGGCCATCAAAGCTCTCGTGGCGTAATGCGGCATTCATGAATTCACAAGAAATCGGACATTTGTCTTCCAAGTGCCTTCTCTTGGCCAAATTATCCGTAACGGCAACGTTGCTGTTGCGGAAGGTCCTTGCGATTCTTGAGAGAGGCGTTCTCTGCCACAGTTACATAAGTATACACTTGCATGTACGTACGCAGTAACTTAATCGGCGAAAGCAACCTTCATGACACGCGAAAGAAGCAACACCAGGGGTACCTTAGACCACACAACCGTTTGGAGAGTCCGGCGGGCGCCTCATCGCACGAAACACACGAACTGGGATGTGTGCCCGTTCACGTGCGGGCAAAATGTTGAAAGAAAACATTCAAAATTACGACGGAGAGCCCAAAAATATATTGCCACACTCTCGCTGCGAGTGTCACACACAATTAACCGCGTGCGGATTAACCGCGAGACAAATACAATACAGATACATCCTCAAATTTGGTGGTATCAACACACGTTCACAACAGGCTAGCCCAGCCTCGGAGAACGATCCACAGCCTGGGCGCGACAGTTGGGTGTTCCTTGAGGGAACATGTCCCCATACATCACAAACAAAAAATAAGTTGATGACGAAACTATACACACCCCGAGACGCGCTTGCTCCGCAACCACATAAGGGTGCTATAATAGAACACCCGACAACCGAGTTCCCCTAAATCTTCCGTCAAAAACTCCCCAACATAACATACAGATAGGTGCACAAGATGGCTACCAAACTGCCTTGTTGAGCCTGTTACCCACAGGGGAGTTATCGTTGTATGCTGTCTGGGAAACCGTAGACATACAGGTAGCCGTTCGCTCACGCTTTGGATTCATTGCTAATCTATCTTAGACGTGTTTCTTTAGATAAGAGATGGATTTGTTGTGTGATGCTAAGAAAAAAAAAAGAGCATGTTCAAAAAACGACAGGATGTTCTCATGTACATAACGCTACAGCAGTCTTTTCGTCGAGAGGCGAGTCGCGGGCGTCGACCCAGCAGACAAAAGTACGCGGTCGACGGATCTAAACCAGGATCAAACTCCACCTATTGACCAGCACCACAAGCTCAATTGGAGGCACCTCTCCTCCGCCCGTCCCCCCTGCCTCTTGGCACAACAAAGTACAAACGTCTGGTTGTGTGTCGATATGTACTGCTGTAGACTAGGTTGGCCGTGTGCTTGATGAAGGCATGATTTCGAAATCACACCACAGCAGCAGGCTGGTCGATTCTGCAACATCGATTCCAATTGCGGCCAAGGCAGATCCGCTCCCTCCCAAACATGATGGTTACCTACTAGAAAATGTGACGACAATGGCGATCCAAGTACGGCCGCGATGTTGTGCTGGGACCAACCTGGTGCTGTACACTGCTGCTAGCATTGCCGCGGGCGGACAGAGCAAATCGGCACAAACAACGGGACAACCACCGTAGGTTCAAAGTTCGCGCGCTCGGCTTCAGGCATCTTGCCCCACTGCTTACTCCTTACACGGGCTTCAAGGTGAGATCCGTTACCTCGCCTTGCGTGTGTGCAAAACGGAAGACCCGGCACCCACCATCGTGGATCTTACCTTCAGTGGTACCCTGGCCTCGCTACGGTTGCCGATGATGTAGGCAACCGCTACGGTGCCATCGGAGTTGACTTTCGAGACCCTCCCTGGTCCGCCCTCCTTGTTCACACCAGGCCACTGTCTCTGGGCAACTACAACATCCTGCCCAACCTCGAACATTGTCACTACCGCATGCAGGTGGAGCTTCCGCCACCAGAAAGTGCCAAGGTTCTGTGTGTTGGCGTTGTTGTGGGAGCGTCAGCTCATCGCACCCTGAAGCACAGCTCGCCCGCTACACCCATCGCGATTCCCTGACGACGCCAACCCTCGGTAGTATGGGGGGGTGGAACATTACTGTCAGTCTCCTTCGTGTACCCCCCACCACAACATGTGTTGGATACGCCGCATCCGTGTCATATCATCCCATCATCACTGAGTGGGTGGACTGGTGACCTTCATCTAGTCAACGGTATTCATTTCGCTACGGTACTACCAACAGCTCGAGCGTGCAGGTCTGCTACACTGCTACACTTCAATTGTATTTGTTTTTGGGGAGGGACTGGTGGACGGGTGAAATTATGAGCGTTTCTCCTTGTTCGGTCGCCACAACGCAAATGGCTCAAGATTCGATGGACGGACAGGATATGTTACCTTCAGCACGCGTCCACTACGACTTCAGATTGACAAGGGAGAGTGGAGATTCGTTCTTCGGCCAGAAAGACATCAAGGAGAACCTTCGACAATGGTAAGGGAACAGCCGTGTGTGTGCAGACACGTGGTGTCACAGTAATCGCTCGCTCGCAGCAAAAAGGGTGAAAATGCAAATGTGAGGTAGACCAGCCTATCCAACATTTACGTCGCCCTCTAACTAGGCTACCCTCCGACACGAGACGACGCACATTTCTTCAGCCTGTATCATCTGATCGTTCTTCTTCCGTCGATCTCTATGGGCATATCCAACACAATCTGTATTACGTCAGTCTAGAGTTCCCGCATGGGTTGCAAGGAAAAGGGTGGACAGTATGATCTTCGACGGTAATACAAGTACTGTCTGTAGATCAACCTTTTCCTGTTTGCTACTATTCTCGGCAGGGGGATAGAGGATACGCTTACCCTCACACAGGTGCAATTCTGCCCAACCTTCATGGTGCATGAGGAGACAACCTTCCTTCGCCAGTTGCTTACGTTCATCGTCGACAACCCAGCCAAGCCAAGGGTGAGGGGTGACGGTAGCTGTATATATCATGTCCATCGCACCAAGCAGCAGGATTCACGTCGATTCTGCGCGTACATCGCATCTACGATAAGGCGATTGCGTAGTCCTGTCAAGCAGGGTCGTGCCGCAAGCTGCAGGTGCTCAGCGTCCATCTTGCCGTCAACCACGAAACTGGTGATGGGGATAATTCTCCGTATTGACTTTTCGTCAAGCTGCTGACAATTCGCCACCCGAAGCAGCAAGAACATAGCACGCGGTGGACGGAATCGCGCCGCCGAAAATGTACATTCCTTATTCGTCATTGGTTCATTGACTGTCAGTCTACGGCGTTGCCGGTGTGCGGGTTGCGCGTAAGAGCAGCAACCCTCGTCGTGTCTCCTCTTTCCCGGATGGCTGTCGTGCGTAGATGGAACACATGATGCGGAGTACGAAGACCAGCGTCGAGAGCGTTCAGTGGGAAAGGTTGAAGTGCACAGCCATGTCCATGGATTTCTTCAACTGCCTCATTGACAAAGGTGACAAGGAGGAAGAAAGCAAATACCAGGGCGAGCGTGAATCACACTCCATCATCGGGAGGGTGGAAGACACTCCTGTATTATTGTGCTTTTCCGATATATTCTTCGATGGAGTATCGTTCGGCCTCTCAAAGACTCCATAAGTTCATTTGAGTATTCGAATCGACTCGTCGCGAGAGAGAGGGTGCTTATCATCTCTACTACAGATCAAGGCGTGGATTGTAGAATGAATCCTATTCCGTTTCTGTGAGCCTAACCGATACGCAGAGAACGTGCACTGTAAGGTGCAGAATTAGAGAAAAATACAATTTTGAAGCGGAGAATATACAACACGCATATATTGAAGTACAGTAGTGCATGCATTTTGGATTTACATGTAGTGAAGAATGTGCAGCAAGCCGCCAGGCATTCTACCGAGCGGCTCTGGTTTGTTTGTGCTTGAATCTGGTTTTAGGTTCACCACCTTTTGCAACCGTCATCGAGTGACCTCAAAGATAATGTAAAAAACGTTGTGTAAAGAAACGCCCCAGCTACAACTTCCCGGCCCACGGTACATGTGAAACCTTAATACCCGACCACGTCGACCCTCCGATTCAAACCAGGGATTGTTAGCAAGTCGGGAAACATACGCGGCTGCTTTCCTGACGTTTTCGACGGGGTGACGGTGTCGGATAAGCTGAGGGAGCTGCTGGTGAACCCGGACTCTGAGAACGCCGACGCCTTCTCCCCTGCCCAACAGGAGGAGCTACTCTTTCACGTGTTCCGGGTTCTGGCCGTGGGTGGGGGTGTGTGCCAGCCTGACGATAGCCTGGAACCTTACACAAAGGCAGCAAAGGCGCTGTATAAGGTGCTTCTAACATCTTTGCAAGCGAAGAGCGGAGGGACCTCGAAGTAGTCACACCGCCGCTCAGTTAACGTGAATCTTACACAATGCGTGCATATTTTACTATGTTGTGTTGGCGTTGTTGCTTCGCAGAAAAAGCGTACAATATCCAGAGAGGAGAGACCGTATTGAAGTACCAACACACCAGACGGAGGTCAAGCGAGTTTCACGCCCTAACCTGTCAAAAACTGTCACATACAAGATGGCGTCCGTGACACACGTCCGTGCCCAACCCGGGTTTTATCCCGAAGATGTACATGTCAATACGTCCCACAAACATCCACCCTCCTTGTGTTGGTTTCCTTGATACCCCAGGATCTTGTCTCCGTCCATAAGAACGCTTCCACGGGAAAGCTGGAGATCGCCGCAAGCAAGGTTTACCGTGTCACTGAGGCATCCACCGTGACCAACCACAACGACAACGACGCCAGAAAGACCAATCCGGAAGGCGCCATCTCATCATCAGAGGGCGGCAACGGAGCGGTTGTAGGGACTGGCGGTGATGGTGGTGGTGGTGGCACGTCCTCATTCTGGAAAGAGGAATGTGCACCATCGAATTCGTCTTCACCACACAGCACCTGCCTGGTCGTTGTCGATCTCGCGAAGAAGCGCGCGTCCGTGCTTTGGAACGAGTTCTTGCCGTTTTGGTGAATCGAAGGCCTGGCCGATTACTCCAGCACTGCCTCACCCTTGCATGTCCGCATTTCTGGGACAGGTTCTTGCGGGTTGGCGCGGGATTGCGTTTGAGAGTTCGAAAGGTCAACACGTTTCTTCTTGTCCTGCTTTGCAATCAACATTGTTCAACGAACAGCTAGCGGAACCGCCGTTCTGGCCCCTAGCGTGTGGTTTTGGTGGGAGTTTCATTTCCGCTTGAGATTTTAACAAGAAAGAGTGTCTCTGGACGTGCTTGCTGCATGGCAAACGCAAGTCGTCTTCAAGAAACGGTCGGGTCCCGGTCCTTCGGCGGGCATGAGAAATGCAGCGTTTCCAGAAGTTGTTCAAGTTGAAGAACTAGCGTGCTTGAACAGTGTCACACCCAGATCTACCTCATCCAACCATAACCCTAAGTCATACCCCACATGCCATTCTTACGCAAGCATTTCCGAGGTGTTCACCACGTTGCCATCACTTCTTCTACCTGACATGCACACTACTATCTCAACCGATCCGATGCTGCCACCTATTCACGTGAGGCTTGAGGTGCCGTATGTTGTGGTTGGTTTCAGCGGCTCCGATGGATTCCCTTGCCGCTTGCTGACGAACGGCTGAAGGGCGAAACATAAAGTATCGCGACCAACCAGTGCCAACAGCTTTCCGAAAATGCCCCCTTTTTCAGGGGGGTGATATGCAAATGGGTATGCCACACGACCACTGTTTTAGTCGAAGGGGATGTGGAGTCTTTACTACAGTGGGTGGAGGGAAATTGACTGGGTATTGGGCTCATTTCGAGTCTAACTAGTCTATATGCACGGTAGCACCACGATAACTTTGTGCGCCGAAAGATCGTGGCGTGCCCCGCCTGAAAAGGAAAAAACATGCGCCTTAGTCTAAAGGCCATCAGACAGACCACGAGGCAGCCCACCACGCAAGCACGCATATGGGCAACGTGCGCAGGGGTACACGCAGTACTACCATTTGCACAACAGTGGTGTCTCCGATGTGTGGCAGACATGTCCTTTCTTTCCTGATCCAACCTACTACCTGCTGCTGGAGATCCAAACGGAAATACCACGACAGGGTACAAACATAACCCTCAACATGCGATCAACCTGGGGTCCCGCTTGCGCGATGGAGAGCAGAGAGACCGTACGGGTTCGCAACTAAAAAAAATTTGGCTCAATTTTTGTTCGAAAACTAAGAAAAAGGGACTAAGAAACACAGCTCAACCTCGGCCACAACATTATAGACTGGGGGAGCGTCTCCAATAAGAAACGTTCCACTGCTGCTCCTTCCGTGCTCCCACCCCCCCCGTACCAGCTGAACAGTGTTTTTTTCGTACTGTAGGTGGGGAGAGTGGTTATTGTCGCCCCCCCCCCCCCCG